TAACAAGTTGTCAAATTGCTCATGTCTTCTGTGTCACTACTCAGTTATCTGTGCACATGCCACTGGACAGCAGTTGAGATTACATGCCATTATACAGTGTTTAACCAGCAAAGACACCACACACATAAATGATGGAGCACAGAGCACAGGAAAATGGAGTTGCTCATCAGGATGTGCAGAGTTCAGAGATTTCATTTCCTTCATTTCTTTAATGCATTAAGGAGCAACTCACAGAAATTCTAACCTCTTATCGTTCCATCAGTCTAACCAGGAAGACTTTATCATCCAGTTTTCTCCTTCTGAATCCTTAGGAAACCTAGACATAGACAGAAGGCAGCAATAAAGATACAAGGTCAGAGACCACTGACCAGTACTCATTGTAGGAGCTGACATCATCACATTTACTTTCTAATCAGTCAAGAAGGGAAGAGGTGACTATTGGAATTCAACAGAAGATGCAGCTGAAGCAGAATAATAGCAAGTTCAAGGGAACATGCTCAGAGCTTGATATATTTGGACCCGAATTCTTATTTGCATCCAAGAGACAAGACTCTCAGAGACTTTTCTCATTCCACTGTCATGGACTTTGATTGCACCATGGTAGTTGAGGAAGCGAGAGGACTGTGACTCAAACATGGTCTCATTGGCTGTCAGGGCTCAGGTTTGGACAGTAAAAGAGGAATCAGAAGGAGAATGTAAGTCCTTGACCTGTATATTAGGTAACCACGTTCCAGCTCTTCTTCCCTAAATTGATCTTATTCTCCAGTTAGTCTAAAAAAGGAAATAGGTCACCACTCCTTCTCCAGTCCGTTGTTTCTTCATGCTCTGCTCCCAAGGGTCTCAGTTTAGTGCTTTTGTTGACAGCCTCCAGGAATTATCTTTACATCCCTACTGGGAATAGAAATGGCTCTTTTCCTGTTCTACTGGGGAGACTCAGAGAGGAGGCAAGGTCATAAAACCTCAGCATCTGATCCCACTGGGAAGAAGTGAAGATGACTGAGTTTGCCTTTGTTAAAAAGGATATTATGAGTAAATTTTCAAGAGCCAGATCTGGCCTACTTGCAGAGGAAGTGAGAGATTTAGTCCCTCATACTCTATAGCACCTTGGAATTTTTCAGAAAATTGAGCTTCCTGGTATCCCAACTCTCTGAAGTATTTGGCTTTATGGGACTTCCTCATAAGAGCCACTCAGTGACACAGTCCTCGGATTTACAAATGGTAAGATGGTCACTGGTGTTTGGCCTGTGGGTGGGGTTTAGGCATCTGTGGGTCTAGAGATAATAATTAGTCAAGCATCCATCTCCAGGTCCTCTGTGCATACATCTCAAACTCCCCAGACCTCTCCCATCATTGCCTGCTCTTTTTTCTTCTTTTCTCACTGTTATGTCTTTACTTCCTTTTTTTTCCTGTTTATAAGTCCAATAGATATTTACAGTGAGTTTGTCAGTTTCAAATTGTGTTTAAAATAACAACTATAGACACCTGAGCTCAAAATCTCAAGTGAAGCAGAAAACCATATCCATTATAGAGTAGTGGTGGTCAATGTCTTTGAAGGAGCCTTCCCACACACAGAGTCACAGCTTGATTAACTTTGTGGGCAGAGAAATCATGATTTTATTTTGGTTTTACATTTGGGATGCGGTGTGAGTCTCTTGTACCCTAGCTTGGCCTCACACTCAAATATAGTTGAGTATTTCCTTGAACTTTTCATCTTAAACCTTCCAGATGCTGGTTTCCCAGCTTGGGGCTGCACTGTGTAGCTTTTTCTGGCTTGGAATTTAATTCTAATGTTTAGTGATGCAGTCCTGGTGTGTCACTGTAAGCAAAGTCAGTAAACAATGGGCTGGAAAGCCATTACAAGCTGTGGATCACTAAATGGTGTCCCACGCCACAGAAATCACACCTCAAATCCTCTTTTCCTGGCTCCTTCTACATTCAGTGTATTCCAGGGCCTCCCACATTCAGATGTAAGGAAAAATCTCATCAGGAGAGCCAGTCTGTGGATAGCCATCCAACTCCATTCTAGGAGGAATCTGATCTCTGTTGAGTCTCGATGAGTTCGACTAGATGGACAATGTGAAGACTTTGCCTTCTTTACCTCCCACATTCAGAGCCTGTGTGCCAGAAGCGTGGAAGGTGACGAAGAGACAGGTGCTGACGTCAGAGCACCCATTTCCCCCATTTCCTGTAATATTGAACGAACTGCCCTCTCCAGGCCTTAGGTGTTCACCTATAATATACAGGTAAGAATACTTCCTTCAGGGAATTGTGATGTTGAGCAAAAGTTAGGGGAACTATGGCTACTCAAAATGCAGGATGTATCCTACTTGGGTTAGGACAGAAGGCGGTAGCATAACAAGGAAGACTTCCTGGCCTCGCTGAGTCCTGCTGTGGCCCCATTGTGGGCAACACAGTGCAGGTGGTGGTTCCCCCTTCATGATGATGATAAGAAGCTAGGCGATTTCTTAACATACGAAAGAGGCATGGGCATGCGGGATAACAGAAGAGCTTTCATGGAGGATTTGTGAATGAGGGCAAGGAGATGGGGGAGACAGTTGTGTACAGAGGCTTCGTGTCCACAGAGCAAGCAGGTTAGGATTGATCTCTGCACCCTCCTAAAGGACAGGGCATAGGAGCTCTTAATTGGTCCAGATAGGACCACTGTGAAATTTTTGAAAAATTGCTGCCAACAGTAACTTGGAGAACGTGTTGATGCGGGCAAAAGGCCAGCACTGAGAAAGGGAAGTGAATTAGTTCCTGAACCTAACAATGAAGGAGTTTGCAGTGACACCTGCTGCGAAAAGGAAAACCAGTTCTCCAATAGAAGAGCAGTGTGTATATCAGTCACCCTCCAGAGCAGGCCACGTGCCCGGAGTAGCTGGCCAACAGGACACATCTGGGTTTTGTTTTGTTTTAGTACTTTTTGTTTTGATTTTCTTTTTTATTATTTTTTTAATTTTTGTTGTTTGTTTTTCTTAAAAGAGAGAGTGGGAGAAAAGAGAAGTTGAAGTTTGGTGGGGAAGATCTGGGAGAAACCGGAGGAACAGAAGAATATGATCAAAGAATATTATATGAAAACAATTATTTAATTAAAATAAATAAGACTGTATTGAAAGGGAAAATTTAGGGGCATAGGCACATGGAGACAGTGATGCAGAAACTCCAGGAGAGATGATGAGTTCCTGACCTGGGTGGAAAGAAAGGACAGCTGTGAGGGTTATGAATAGTAGGCTGGTCAGGAGAAGGGGTGGGGACGGGGAAAGGGAAGACTGAGGATGTCTAAGTGTTTCCTTGATATATCAACTTCCATAAAATTAATTCTTCCCTTAAGCATTGTCTTGCTGTTTAGCATGAGAGGTGACCTAGATCAGACACTTTTGAGCAGTGTTGGGAAATTTCCTTTACATGTCTTTCCTTGAGCATGTGTTTATATGCACCTATGTGTTTACATATTGTTTCAGAAATATAGTTGATATTTGTGCTGCTGGGAAAAGCATTAAATATGTAGAGTGTTAGTAAACACAGTCAGGCACACACTAAAAGGATCATTTTAATTTACTCTTCAATTGGATCCAATTACTCTTGTCAATATTAGATAACTGTTATTGTAGCCAGGCTAGTAGGCATGTGGGGATGCGAGACTGTGAAGAGGAGGGTGGGTGTTGGTGTTGTGATGTTCTCATGCAACTCCCAGAGAGCTGCCTTGTGACCTTTAAATATGATTACCTACTCCATTGTAGCATCTGTTTTTATGTTTATGTTTTTCTAAGCCTTTGTATAAACTTTTGAGTACTTGTTTTTGCATTATTCTAGCTTATGGAGGGCTTCCCCCCCCAAAAAAAAGTGTCCTTTAAAGATATGTTACCTTTGCTTGCTCTAAGAGGATAAATATATTTATCATGCTTGATGTTAAAATTTGGTTGCAGTCAGATGCTGGTGCTTCCTGCCTGCATTTCCAGCACTCAGGAAGTAGAGGCTGGCAGATATCTTGAGTTTGAGGCCTACCTGGTCTATAAAGTCAGTTACAAGACAGACAGAGCTGTTACACTAAGAAACCCTATCTTGAAGAACCAAAGTAAATAACAAATTTGTTTGCTATAGATTTACCACTCAACTCCACAGTACACCTGGAATGGATTGTTAGCATGCAGAGGGAGGTAAGAGTTAAAAAGGAAGAAATAACTTATCTCCTCACATACCCACATGATTCATCAGGGTTTTCCGGGAAGACGACAGTGTCTCCAGTGCACTGCACACATGACCTTCTTTCATTACTCACAGGACTACATGTGTGAGGGCCTGTGTCTGACTGATATTTGTTCTGCTATCTTCATCTGTTCGTTTATTCTCTATTATGCATGTCGTCGTGTGTGTGTGTGTGTGTGTGTGTGTGTGTGGTTGTAGACTGATAGGATTCTTCCTCAATTGCTCTCTCCTTTTTCACTGAGACAGGGTCTCTTAGTTGAACCCAGTGCCCATCATTTCACCTAGTGTAGCTTAATGTAGCTAGCCCTTCTATTCTCTCACTGCCTTCCCAGAACTGACAACTGTGGGAAACTGCATACGACTTACCATGTGTTACATGTTATTTAGAGGAGTTAGCTCTGTGAGATGTGTTAGACGTCCATCATAATCCTGAGACATGAGTGTCATCTGCCTTGTTTGATAGATAAAGAGACAGAGGCATTGGAAGGTGCAGTAGCCTGAGAAGATTCACAGAAACTGAACAATGTACTCAGAAACCCACATGCTAGCCTTTCTTTTCTTAATTAAAAAGTATTTTTTTATTTTATGTGTATAGATATTTGCCTATACACTTCTTTGTGCGCCATGTGTGTGTTTTGCCAGTGGAGGTCAGAGAATGGAATCAGATCCCTTGGAATTGAAATCATACAGCTCTGAGCTTTCTGATCCCCTTCAACAGCAGCCAGTGTTCTTCACCTTTTTAGCCATCTCACCAGCCTGGATCTCCCCTTGCTGCCTCTACAGCTGGCCTGTGTCAGGTGACTCAGAGATGAATGTGATTCTCTTACAGGCCTCACCATGTGGATGATTCCAGGACAGAACCAAAGCTGGGTTTCTGAGTTCATCCTACTCGGCTTCTCCAGTGACCCCACAACTGACAGCATCCTCTTCATTGTGTTTTTTCTCATCTACCTGAGCTCCATCCTGGGAAATGGACTCATCATCCTGCTGATCTGCCTGGACACACATCTGCACACTCCCATGTACTTCTTCCTCTGTATACTCGCCATGTTGGATATGGGTTCTGTCACTACCACTATGCCCCAGATGTTGGTGCATCTTCTTTCTCACTCTCAGACCATCTCCTTTGCTGGCTGCTGGCTCCAGATGTTTGTGTTCAGTGCTTTGTGTATGATTGAGGGCACCTTTTTTGTTGTCATGGCTTATGACAGATATGTGGCCATTTGTCACCCACTTCGTTATACTGTTATCCTCAACTGGGGAATATGTATATGGTTGGCAGCTGGTACTTGTATCTGCGGTTTCCTCTTTTCTTTGTTGCATACATTCTTCACAATGAGTTTGCCATATTGTGGGCCCAACAAAGTCAACCACTATTTCTGTGAAGGTCCTTCAGTGCGTAGCTTGGCGTGCATGCATACCCACATAATTGAGATGGTGGACCAGATCTTGAATGTTTTTGTGGGTCTTACTCCAATTTCCCTCATTGTGGCTTCCTACATTCGCATCGCCATGGCAATTCTCAAGATCAAGTCCACCCAGGGACGATGCAAGGCTTTCTCTACCTGTGCCTCCCACCTGACTATGGTCTCCTTATTCTATGGTCCAGCCTCTTATATCTACTTGAAGCCCAAATCCAGCTACTCCCCTGAGCAAGACAAGCAGATAGCACTCTTTTACAACGCCTTCACAGCCTTGCTTAACCCCGTGGTCTACAGTCTGAGAAACAAAGACATCAAGAGGGCGTTTCTCAAGGTGATAGGGCATAGTATGACAGGTTGGATCTAGGAGAACCTATTCACTATTTAAGAAAAGATCATTATCATTCACTATTTAAGAAAAGAACTTTTTTATTGTGTGTAATTGACCAGTGCATTGGAACTAACATTGTATTTCGTAATTGGGATAAACCAAGGTGATTGGCTTGATTGATATACAAAGGCATAATTCCAAACACATCAGTAATCTTCCTGGATTATAATCCAGAATAGATTCATCTGTTGCTCATGTTTATAGCTGTAGGTTGGGAGTGACCTTCTGTCCTCTCACATCAATCCTGAAGAAGGAAACTTATACCTAATATGTCATCCTAGAGCAGAAGAAAAGGAACAATGGACAAACTCACAATGACTGAGCTTCTCAAGAGTGACCTGCTCCTCAGTCCACAAATTTTTTTGGCCAAAGCAATTAGCATGGTGTTGTGGAATATTGTTTTAATTGAATACAGATGTAGTACTTTTGTTTATTCTGTAGAATATCATTTTAACTGTGTAAAGGTGTGTCGCATTTCTTTGAGCTGCATCTCTTAAATGATGTTAGGAGGTGTTACACTGGTTTGTCCTGCATTTGTTTAATTATGTAAAGATGTGGTACATTTGTTTTACCTTGCCTGCCTTAGGCACTTGATTGGTCAAATAAAATGTTGAATGACCAATAGCAAGGCAGAAATGGGAAAGGCAAGACTTGCCAGCAGAAAGAATAAGTAGGAGGAGAGATTTAGTAATGAAAGTCAAGAAGAGGAAAGAGAACAAAGAAGACGAGGAGCACACACATTCAAGACAAGAAGCCAATTAGCCACCAGCTAGCTGATACAAGAAACAGTGAATGTAAGATATACAGAAGGAAAGAAAACTAAAAAGGCCAGAGGAAATGGTAAAGAAAAACAGATTAATTTAAGTTAAAAGAGCTAGCCAGAAATGAGCATAAACTACTGAGCAATCAGAACTAATATGAAGTTTCTGTGTGATGATTTGAGTGCTGGTTGCTTATCCTAAAAACAGCTTAGTACAGTATTGTTCAGCCTGAGAACAGGAGGTAGAATGTATTTTGTGTGAGAGATGTAATACAAGGTCTTTTGCCATGGTCTTTTGTGTTGGCTCCTCTACTTTGAAATCAGCAAGTGATGTATATTATGTAACCTGCTATAGTTCTCAGAAAACAATAACATACCTACAAACCACCACAAAACATGCTAACTGTGAATAGAATGATAGTATAGATAGTATTAGGCTGAGGCACTATATGTTAAGTAGCAAAGCAGGTGTTGTCAGGACAGAAGTAAGTTGATAGTTTATGGAACAGAACCAATGTTGATATAGACTGCTCATTCATTTCCCGGATACCCAGACCAGAAAAATCACACAGAAACTTTATTAATTATAACACTGTTTGGTCAATAGCTTAGGCGTATTCTTAGCTAGCTCTTACATCTTAAATTAAACCACAAGGCAGTGGCCTACAAGTAAGGTTCCACTGTCTGCTTGTCTTTCAGAAGCTACATGGTATCTCTCTGACTCTGCCTACTCTCTCTCTCTCTATCTCTGTTCTGATTTCCCATGTGGCTTTACTCTGCTAAGCCATTTGCCAAAACAGCTTTATTCATCAATCAATAAAAGAAACACATACACAGAAAGACATCCCACATCATATCCCCTTTTCTGTCTAATGAAAAAGGAAGGTTTTAAATTTAACAAAGTAAAATTACATATAATAAAACAGGTATCTAGCAAGAATTACTCTTATAATATTTAGCATATTCTTATGTGGCAAAAATAAAGAAAACATTCTACCAGCTATTTTATCTTTGTGAGTCTAAAGTTTTTATCTAATTTATCATCTGTCATAACTAAGTAAAATTATAATTAACACTATCTGTTCTTCAACTCCGTCACAGACTCCAGGAAGAGATAATATTACCTAAGTAAGCAGGAAGTGCTTTGTAAGCTACTTCCAAAGCTCTAGAATTGACAGAGACTCTTGCTGCCAGGACAGTCATCCAAAGTTTTTCTGCAAAGTTGGGGCAGCAATCTTCAGCTTACAGGACATAGTATCTGGCAAACATTTCCATGAAGCAGGAAATTTGGAAGACTGTTTTACCTATATTGACAGTTTGTTAGTATAGTTTGTCTGTATCCTTCAGAATATCTGGCAGTGTAGTGTAAAGACCATGGATCAGAACCAGTATAATTTTACAGGAATCATTTTTAATTCACTGTCCCATACATCCAGTTACTCCTGTCAGTACTGGGTTCTGTTATTGTAGCCAGGCTGGTAGGGTGTGGTGATGTGAGACTGAGAAGAGGAGGTGGGCGCTGGCGCTGTGCTGATCTTTTGTAGTTTCCAGATGTAATGATGCTGAGAACCTCAGCCTCCTCAGTGCTCACTGGACAGCTGCCTGTGAAATGTCCTTTAAATATGGTTCACTGTTCTATGGGCACATCTGCTGTTATGTTTGTGCTTTTCTAATTTCTCGTATAAGTAATTTGAGTACTTTTTGCTTATTCTAAATAACCATTATTTTTCCCTTGAAGGAAAGTGCTCTTTTAAGGAAATCTTACCTTTGCTTCCCCCAAAATGACACATAGATGTATTTATCACGTTTGAATATAAAGAAAATAATGGATGTTTTAGAGTTACCTGGAATTGATTGTTAGTGCACATAGGGAGGTAGGAGTGGAAAAGGAATAAATGACTTTCCTGCTCCCATACCCCATGATCATCAACATTCCCTGGGAAGACTACAGTGTCTCCAGTGCATTACATATGAACTTCTGTCATTACTCATAGGACTACAAGTAGGAGGGCTTATGTCTGACTGACATTGGCTCTGTCTTCTTCATCTACTTGCTTACATCTGCAGTACGTGTTTATGTGTGTGCACACATGAGTGTGTTCATGTGCATGCATGTGTACATGTGTGTGTACAAGTGTGTGTGTGGTCAGAGACTGACATGGTGTTCTTCCTCAATTGTTCTCACTTTACTCCTTGAGACAGAGTCTTTCAGTTGAACCCAGTGCCCATCATTTCATCTAGTATAGCTAGCCATCTTATTCTGGGGACGCCCTGACTCTGCCTTCCAGAGAAGGAACAAGAATGTGAGACAAGGTATTATGTTCAGATACCAGGAGTTATGTGAAATGCTTCAAATATTCCTCATTCACCTGAGACATTTTGTCATCAAGCCTCATTTGAAAGGTGAAGAGACTGAGACATTGGGAGGTTCAGTAACTTAAAAAGAATGAACAGAAACTGAAGGGTATGCTCAGAACACACATCCCAGCCATTCCTTTCCTAATAAAAAAGTATTGTTTTTTATTTTATGTGTATGTGGTTTTGACAACATACATGCCTATGACCATGTGTATGCCTGGCCTATAGAGGTGAAAGGAGAGAGTCACATTGCATGGAATTGGAGGAACAGATAATAATTAAGAGTGGTCTAATTCCTTGGAATAGCAATCAGTGCTCTTAATCTTTGAGCCATTTCACCAGCATGTATCTTCCCTATCAGACTTTCATACCTGTGTAGCTAGCATGTGTCAGGAAACTCATAAAATATGTGATTCTCTTATTGTATCCACCATGTAGATGATTCCAGAACAAAGCCAAAGCTGGGTTTCTTGGTTTCTCCAGTGACCCCATGACCAACATCTTCCTTTTCATTGTGTTCCTTCAAATATATCTGAGCTCAATCATGGGCAATGGGCTCATCATCATGCCGATATACCTGAACACATATCTGTACACTCCCATGTACTTCTTCCTCTGTATACTCGCCATGTTGGATATGGGCTATGTCACCACTACCATGCCCCAGATGTTGGTGCATCTTCTTGCTAAATCTCAGACCATCTCCTTTGCTTGCTGCTGGATGCAGATGTATGTGTTTGGTGCTCTTTCTGCACTGACAGCATATTCCTTGTCATCATAGCTTATGACAGATATGTAGCCATTTGCTATCCACTAAACTATCCTATTATACTCAACTTGAAACTCTCTACATAGTTGGAAGCTGGGACTTCAGTCTGTGTTTTCCTCTCTGCTTTGTTACACACTTTCTTCACCATGAATCTTCCATATTGTGGATCCAACAAAGTCAACCATTACTTCTGTGAGGGCCCCTCAGTGCTTAGCCTGGCTTGCATGGATACCCACCTCATTGAGATGGTAGACCAGGTCTTGAGTGCTCTCATGTGTCTTATTCCAATTTCCATTATTGTAACCTCCTATATTCATATTGCCATGACAGTTCTCAAGATCAAGTCCAACCAAGCCCACTGCAAGGCTTTCTCTACCTGTGTCTCACATCTGACTGTGATCTCATTCTGCTGTTGTCCATCCACTTACATCTACATGAAGCCCAACTCCAGCTACTCTCCTGGGTGAGACAAGCAGGTCTGACTCTTTTATAATACCTTCACTGCCTTGCTTAATCCTGTGATCTACAGTCTACAAAGACATCAAGAGGGCATTTCTCAAGAACTTGGCACAGGGTAGGGTGGACTAGTGAATCAGGATCCCTGAGAAGTTGGAGTGGATTGTCACTTTTTGGTAAAATAACAACATCTTGATTTTATGTAACTGTTCTGTGCATATGACCAACATAGTGCTTGATAACTGGGACAAACCATTGTGAACCAAGGTGGCTCTCTTGATTGACAGGTTGCACTAAGATACAATTCCAAACACCTCAGAAATCTTCCTAGATTATAGCTGCAAAGATCCATTTCTTGCTCTCTCTCTCTCTCTCTCTCTCTCTCTCTCTCTCTTTTTTTTTTTTTTTAGCTAGAAGTTGGGAATGACCTGTCCTCTTACACCCATCCTGAAGGAGAAACCTTATATCAAACATGGCATCCTAGATCTGAGGTAAAGGAACAGTGGAAAAACTGACAATGACTCAGCTTCTCAAGAGCAACCTGCTTCTCTTTCCACACATTCTCTTGGCCAAAGAAAGTACTATGGTCCAGCCTGACTTCACAAGGTATCTTGATTTCACAATTTGAGTCTA